CACTACAACTTCATCTACTCCAGCCACTACGAACGTAACTAGACCGCCTCATTCATTGACTCCTGGACCTAATACGGATTCTAAATCTTCGAGTGAGTTTAAATTGTTTGTTCAAATGAAACAGCCTATCCTAATGATGTATTTATCTAGGTAATAATAAATCATCAACGAGAACAACAACTCCGTCCACGCCTGCTGCGACAGCAGCAGCTCCAAGCAATAGAATACAACTTAGCGATTTGCAGAATTTTCTATCGGAAATTCCGACGCCATCTCGAACGGAGCCAGCTGTGCAGGTAATATCATATTGCTTTTTCATATCTATTACTGAGTTAATCTGATCGTTGGATTGAATTGAAATTTCAATTGAAAAATGAATTTTCTAAAAAATGACTGGTGCAAATATAATGCAATGTACATACTATTTTTTTAAATTGTAATAATTGGATTAGAAGAATTTTGACTCTGCATGGAAAAACGATAACAGGTAATTGAAGATGTTAGTGTTTTGTGAGTAGAAGATGCCTCTGTCATAAGTGTTTAATGTGCTGATTACAAATATCCATTTATATAGAGTATCCTAAAATTTTCCTAATAGTTTTTTCTTTCCATCATAAATTTTTTGGTTTTTTCATGATCAATTCATATTTTCATTTAATGCAAATGTCAAAGCGTCTAAAATTTTTACATAATAAATAATTGCAACTTTTAATAAATTAAACTTAAAGAAAAAAAAATAAAATTATCCTTATTTTATTAATATTAGATTTTATATCTATTTGAATATAAATTTTTCTAGCTTAATTACTAAAATCTAAAATTACATAAAATTAGAAATGCAATGACATCTTTATTAAGAAAAAAACATTCTCTTTAAATTCGCTATGAAAAGGAATAATTAATATTTTTTATAATTCTGAGACACTATAAATGGCTTTCAAGAATATCAATAATAATGAAACATCATACATTGAATTGCATTATAAAGTGTTTCTCGAAAGTTAACTTTGCTATGAACATGTGCATGTCATTATTTTTATTTTTTAATACAAAGATTGCAGTATTAAATGTTTTATAAAAATCTGATCTTTTATTTAGCAAAGTCGTCAATCAAATATCAATTACAAAATTTGATTAATTTCTTAAAGAAATATGTATTATACATTGCGTTTGCGTTTGTATCTCATTCAAAAAAATTTTACGGCTGATGTTATTATTTTTAGGAATAATTTGATAAATTTTTGTATCAAAGATAAATTAATTAAATTAATAATAATATTTATTGGATAAACTCAATTTTTATGAGTTTATTTAATTTAGTTTACATACATACACACACATACACACAAATAACGTATTTTTTACAAATACGAAAAGATAAGATTAAATCTCTTCTCTCATCCTATAATAGTTGCAAGACTGCACATCTGTTTAGTACATTTTAAATCTTAAAAGAGATATTAAAATAAGTCTCTCTCTCTCTCTCTCTCTCTCTTCTCTCGGTTATAACATTGATTATGCATAAATATTACAAATTATTTATTTTATCAAATAAAGAGATAAAAAGATACCGAATATTTATCATAAAATCACAGTCATTGATATTTTAGATTAATATTTATGTAGAATTAATATACTAGAATAAAATCAGAGGAGCGAAAGAACAACAGTATTTTCACATAATTTACATAAAAATTTATATAAAAAATATATGTAATATTCTGAAAATACGGTATTTTCACATAGTTTACACATAAAAAATATATGTATAATAGTATTCTGAAAGCACAATAAACGACGAAACCAAGCAATCACAATAGAAGAAAATCTATGTGGAAGTTCTTAATAACGTGAACAAAGTGTAAAAAATTCAAAGATTGTTTATCATGGAACAGATTATCTGTCGTATAATACTAATTGTGTATTTTTTACAGCTACTATCATTATCAGGAATACATAAAGTGCCATTCTTGATAACAGAAGTTGCAGAATAGCTTTCAGACTCATTCAGTATTTTACAAGTGTTTAAAATGGTTCTCTCTCTGAGTGAGCGCGAATTTTTTAGCTTTGTTATTTGTATTATTTGTGAATAATTAGTAACTGGTGTATAATATATTGCGATGCTAGAAAATTAACATTGAAAATATTATATGTACACTTAAACTAACAAAGCCATTACAAAAAAAAGTTTGTGATGGAATAACAGACTTCGTAGTTAATTAATATATCTAGATTCAATTGGAATTTTAATGTGTTATAGCTATGTTTATGTGTTAGTTTATGTGCTTGTAGATGATAATATCATTAGAAGTCACGTGATCAATAAGTCCTAGCTAATATGTTTTACGATGCTGTGTTTGCCTTTCTCTTTGAAACTCAGTAAGGTTTTAATAATCTATAAGTGAACTGCTCTCAATGTTACACAGTCCAACACATTTTTTTGTAGTAATATTTCTTTGAAAAACTGTTAAACATATTATATATTTCCTACAATACTGTGAAATTATGTTACTAACACGTGTTTACTGTTAAGTTACTGGATACGAAGTATTTTGATCAAGCAAAGTGTTAAAAAAAAGAAAACAAGTAGTAATAATTTTTTTAAATTCATGTCACAATCTGGTTGCCAAACTAATTAGTTAATCCGTAATATATTGTAATAGAGCAAGATTAGAGAAAAGACAGAGGCATGGTTTTCTCACTGTTCAATACTATCCTTTGTCTGAACTTTTCCTGGCTGTCGGAGACTCTGGTTCTGCTGAGCAGTTGGGGAAGTTTCTCTGGGTATGTCTGTTGTTTTCGTCCAGCTACAGCGCAGCTTATTGTCCGGCAGAGGGGCGTAGCGACAGAGCTGACCAACGCTATCCCAACGGCGATCTCTACGACGGAGAGCTTGGAGAGTGCTATGAACGTGCACTTGCCACCTGGGGACAACCTGTCTACCACGCTATCATCTCCCCAGTTCTCCCAGGCGCTATCAATGTTCTGGTCTGCTTTGCAGTCGGGCCAGGCGGGCCCTGTCATCCGTCAATTCGGCTTGGGATCGGACGCCGTCAATGCCGCATCCAGTGGAAACATCGAAGAATTCGTCAGCGCTCTGGAGTCCGAAGCGAAGAACGGTCAAGGACAGCAAGCGCAACAGGGACAAGATGACAAGAATAAGAAGCAATCATCGGCCGCTAGTCCTGATAAGAAGGACGATGACGACGAAGGCATGGCTTTAGACTAAGGATGGAATTTGTATGCATCTCTCATTTCAGGCGTTGCCTTTTTTTATTTAGAAATCATGCGTTACATTATTATTATGTTACAATGAATACGCAATAAAAAATCTTACTGGATATATATTTTTCTTCAAGATAATTTAAACATATATGTATAATTTCAGTAACATTTTTGGATGTATATCTAAGCGTTTCTCTATGTCTTCGAAAATCCACGACGTTAATCTTGTATATTAATGAGAGATTAGCAAACACGTTGACTAAAATATAGAAACAAGAAATTTCATCACGTGTTATCAAAATTACACATATGAAAATTGATATATTGGGCCTTTTGTATACATTTATTGGATTTATTAAACTGCGAACGCTTCAATAAAATAATTTAATAAAATCGTATATATGTACAAAATTCGTGTATTGTATGAGTATCCAAATATGTCTCGAAGCTTTGTACTTAAAATCATTTAAATTGTTCAAATACCGAGTCATTATCGCATTTCTATCACGTTTCTATTTTTTAGATTATTACTACATTTCTTATATAAAAAATAAGATTATGAAATTTGTTGACTTGATTATGTCCCTTATATTTAAATATTTGGTCACTTTATTTTTCTTATTTTATTTACTTGAATCTTTTAGCGAGTAGAAAATATTTTTTTTTAAAAAGACTTTATTTTTTAAATTTCAAATTTTATTTATAACTTAAAAATAAGTAATTCTGTAAAAAAAAAATATTTTGTGAAAATATTTAATGAAACAGTCGTCAAATATAGAATTTAAATTGTAAGAAACGGAATGGCGGGAAAGAACGGTCCAATCATGCGCTTTTGTTTACGACGCACAAGCGTTTTATTGGACCTATACGATAATCGATATATAGTGTCAGCTGAGTTCTATCAACTCCATGGTTGACAAAAAAAAATAAGTTAGTGCTATATCGTCAAGTTACTATTAGTAAAATATAAATTACGACATAATTAGTGCGATTATTTGGATTGATTTTCTCAGGCAAAAAAGGCTAGGTCAAAAAAGCAGAGGTTGTTCAGGGTGACGCCGTAAATGTGTCGTCAGATATTTATACGTTTGATCGCGATGGTATACGATTGGCTATTTGATCATGACATCATGCAGGTGCGGCTATAGCGCGAGAAGCCAAACATTTCTATTTATGTAACAATTTTTATAGAAACAAAAATTATTAAAAAATAATAAATCGACGCAACAATCAATTCTAAAACATTTCTAAAATTGTAACGCCATCTCCAAAAGTCTTCAAATTAGATGATAATCTCGGTTATTAGCCTAATTAATGAGAGTAAAATACATTTATCTGTTCCAACTTCGGTATTTATTTTTTTTTATATTTGTTATTTTGTAAAATACATTCTTTTTATCTAACAATTTTATTTAATATTTAAAGAGTAAATCAGAATCTATTTGAATCTAATCGAGTATATGAATTTTTATTTTAGCTGACCAGAAGATATAAAGGCGTGATTTTTTTTTAGACTTCCACTCAATAGAGACAAGATGATTAATGATGAAATTCACCGAGTTAACCAAGGTACGCACGATATAATGGTAAGTGCCTAAGTGGTAGAAAATGCCGGTCATCACGCCGCCGCGACGCGACGCGTCCATACGATCGAAGCAGCGCAGCGGCGTCCCGGCCGGAGCGTTTGTTTGTAAACACGGCCGTATGACGAGGTGCCCGCTTACGGCGCTTACGGCGCTCACGCCGGCCCTGCGCGCTGCTGGCGCGCAGTCGCGCAAATCGAACGGAGTAGTGGGGGAACTCCCTCGCGAAACGCTGATCGCCGAATGCGCTACGGCGAAATTTCGCTGACAAAAGCCGCGGTGAATAACGCGTCGGGCCGGACGCGTGAAGGAGCCTAATTTCTTGTCTGCGTGTGAATCTGATCAGCTGCTGCGGTGAGCCGCGACGTGTCGTGGCCAGTGTCATCGTGAAATAAGCTGCGGGTATCGTAATTTCCCCCCAATGCCATTGTTGTGATAGCGGTACCGCGGCGGCGGTGGTGATGGGGAAAGAAGAGAGCGGGCGGGCAGGTAGTGGCTTAAAGGGAACGAGAGGGAGTGAGAGGGGTGACGTGGAGTAATAAAACAGTGTGCGTGAGCGCCGATACTCGCGCGCGCAGTCCACGTACGTGTGCACAATGGCAACCTTGACACTTGGTGATCGTTTTTGGCGGCTCCGCGCCGTGGAGATCGCGCGTCCAGCGGCATCGCGTCGCGAGTGAAAGCGACGACGGCAGGCACGCCTCGAGCAACAATAGCAGAAGGAGAAAGAAAAAGAGAGATTGAGAGAAATAGAGGAGACCGCAGGAGAAGAAGGCGAGTGGTGGTCGAAAGACGCGGGAGTGCTGCGTACGTGGACATCACATCTCGGCTCGAAATTCCTACGTTATCCTCGATGTAGAGTCCGCAAGTTTCCTTAGCGACACGCCACGGCCTCCCTTTGTTTTGGTCCCCGCGTCTCAGACCGTCGTCCTCGGACTTCGGAGCGTGGCCGCGAAATCGTCACGCCGCGTCGCGCGTCGCGCTGCGTCGTGTCGCGTCACATCACGCCGTGCCGCGCGTTGCGTCGCGCGCGGCATTCCGACACGGCGATCGCGAGACTCGCCGTTCACGAAAATAAAAAAAAAGGATTTAATTTGAAGGTTAGAAGTTAGGCGAGAGAGTGACAAGTGTCAACGTACGTCGTGCAAATAGTATGAATCACCGTCCTCGTACTTGATCAACTTGGTGTCGTCATCATCGTTGTGTTGTTGCAGCAATACATTCGTCTGTGTGTGAAGCGATAAAATTGTGATAACTTTGAAGTTAGTTAGTCTCCTCTATTAAATGAAACTTTAGACTCGCGCGTAATTTAACGAGTATACATATGTCGCGTACATATGTCGCTCGATCACGTCACGGCATGTTTCATTTCACGATGTCTAATTTTACGACAAATTACGATATAAATTGTATAAGTTAATTAGAAAGAAATATAAATACATACACATGTATACATAAATATATATTTTACGTATATATTTTATTATATATGTATATGTATGTATTTAAAGATGAATGATAAATTGTATTAAATTTAAATTTTATTTTTTATATCTTAGTTTTGCTTTAAGTCAGATTTTTTATCATTATTCATTATATTTTATTGTATTTTTTGCCTTAAAATATGACACTATTTCAACACCATACTAAAGTGGCTTTTTCTGTAATTACTTTCTTGATATTTATGCGTCAATTTTTGCTACATTTATATGATAGTCATTAGAAGATTTAAAGTCAATTATGCGCAAAAAAAATCTGGCTTCGATGTTAAACAAAAAAAAAAATCATCGCGGTGCGGAGTTTTGTGAATTTTATTGGATGTTTTATTAGTTCATGCGAGCGCGTTTTCCCAATTCGTCGCTCATTATCGTTCGGCGAAACGTCAGCACGAAGAAAGAAACGTCATTCGCGCGACCGGTCGGACGACCCAATTTCTTGTCTCATCGCTCGTGGTTCGACGAGAAAAAAAGATACGGAACTGCTTACGCGGCATGTGAATCGTAGCTAACACGCGTGGTACGCGATTCCGCGTGCGCGCGACGCACGCGGAAGCCGCGTCTCTTTCGTTTGCGTGTGGCGGCGCGTACGCGTCACGCATGACGCCAGGAATTGATCTCGAGGGAGGAGATGAAAGGCGATTTTGATACATCCATATTCTTTAGGAACGATAAGAAGATCGGAGGCGGATCTTTAAATGCCAACACGCTTGCATTTTTCAAAATCCGAAGAAATAACGCTGTAATTGTTTCTTAAATATTTACTCTGTAAAATTTTTAGAATGAAATCTCACTTTGAAAAGAGAAATCTCACTTTTAATTAAAAATTGAGCCACTCTTTCAAGATTGGCTCAGTTTTCATTCTTCGGAATGAGATTCTACTCCAAAAAGTAAATTGTTCCATCATTGACACACTTAGAATATTTAAGAAGTTTAATCGAATAGCGAGAGTTTGGTCATTACGCTAGATTAGTGCATACTAAAAGTTGCTATGAAATTAACATGAAATTAATAAAGTTAAATGTAAAATATAAATATTTGAAATATATACGGTAAGGCTACTAGTTGTGGATCGCTCTTATAAAAAAAAATTTATCCAGAACGATGTCGAACAATTAATAAAATATTTAATAATTATAATTGATTATAAAGATTACATTATAGATTTTTATTTCATTTCGGAATCGTTTTATATATTTTAATTTTAATTAAATGAAGTAATGACAATTTTGCACAATCAGACTCCATGTACTAATTGCGAATCAGTTCACCAAATGTTTTATACTTTTTGGATTTAATTTCAACCGAGCATGATATTGATTTTTTTCATGAAATCTAATACTATATATTTACTACCTTCTGTAAAAGCTAAAAAAGACAATCTTTATTACATGAATGAATTTTTAAAGATACATACCTTAGTAATCTTAGTTTATCTGTCACGTTTTATTAACGACATCAATAAAATGTGCAGCGCTGTTGCTAATAAATAAAAAACAACTGACACTTTAAAAAGATAAAATAAATGCTAAAGAATCTTGTAATATGCATTATTTGATAGAAAATACTTAATAATTATTTAGATATAATATGTAATCTGGAATTAATGCCTGTTCCGCATTTAATGTTTTTATTCTATTAGGTGTTGGAATTAATTCGTAGCGTTTTACAAGTGATGGGAAGTACTTTCATTAATGTATTTTTTAATGCTCATGTGAAATAAATAACATTCTTTCATTAAAAAACGCTACGAATTAATTCCAACACCTAATATTTTAATGATTAAATACTAATGTTGTCACGTTGATTAACAGAATGTACATGTAGATATTATTGTATTGTCAAAGTATTGACTACATGCAACTTCATTCAAATACGATATTTTACATAAAAAATAGTCTTTAATATGTATTAATCCATTATAGTGAATGACCAAGTTCATCAAAAATAATCTTGTGAAGATCCTGCAACAATCAAATATGAATTAAAAAATTATTTTTACTATCTATCATCTACCTTCAGATTACCAATTTGTCACTCTGTCACCAGCCGCGATTTATGAGAAGCAATAACGACGACGACGATCTCATTTATTTTTTATCCACACAGAAAGATACATAGTGTGTGTAGATAATAATACTGATTTATTTTAAAAGTTTATATATCCGTAAATCTATAAGTTCAATTATCAAAATATATTTTGAATCTTAGAATAAGTTTAATAAGTTTAAATTTTAATGAAGATTATTAAGTTTAAAACAAATTTAATTTGTTTATTATAAAGTCACTTCTTCGATCAATTTTATAATATTTTTTAAGAGAAAATAAATTCTTGTTTCGAATACATAATGATGAATTTTTTAATAAAATTTATAACAAGTATATTTTAAGATTATTATGAAGAAAATATTCTGTGTTAAAGGTAACCATTATTTAAAAGGAAAAAAAAATAAGTTGCATAATCACATTTCTCAGCAATATAGAATAACATTTTTCTGTGTGTGCAGGCAGTGGATAAAGCTTTGCGATACGAGCAACGGCCGCGAAAGTATTGCTGCGTCGCGACGATTCGTCTCATTAAACTTCCGTATCCGTTTCAAGAGCAACATACGTTTAAACTATCATGTGGAATTTGTCTATTTGCGAGGAACTATTCGATCCGCTATATTTAAACTTGATTATATAGACACATGAGAATTTTGTAGTTTAACATTTTTTCTTATTTCGACGTTTGATGTTGATTCTCACATTTGAACTACATGTGTTGCATGGCATAGTATTGTATTATGTATGTGCAACACGTACACATTAAGTGTATATCGATTATACTATGTTTGGAGTAACATGATGCAATCTGTTACGAAACATCTTGTCTAATGTGTATACAATTTCCGCAATTTCCTTGACAGCTGGAACTCGTTTTCATTCTGTATAAAATGTATCACGATAAAAAGTTCCAGTTTACTGAAGAGAAATTGATCGCAAAATGAATATTCTGAACGAGAGAACCAAATTGTACATCGAATAATCCACGCAAGTCGGCAAGTAAATGGAGAAACGCTTCACTACTTGTTCAAACGCACGGATTATTGATGAACGGTGCTCTCGGCTTTTGTCTTCATTCATAATGTTATCGCCAGCAGCGTGATGGAAATAGCATCGAGAAATGTCATACTGTCTGTTGACAATCGGTGACTATTTCATGCTAAATATATTTTATTATATATATGTATAATATAATAATAAAATATATGTATGTATACATGGAGAGAATTTTTTTCTTAGAGTTCTTAAAATTTACCCTGAAAATATGGCAGTTCTGGGACAACATTGTATTTCAAAGAATTTGATGTAAATTTCTCATTCATTAATAAAATATAAATAAGTTTGATTAATTTTATTGAATGCATGGTAAAAATCTTTAAAATATATTATATTATATAACCGTTATTATACCATCATATTTTCAGGGTAAATTTTAAGAGATAATTCTCTCCGTGTGTGTGTGTGTGTGTGTGTGTGTGTGTGTATAGGTGTTTCTTCGCGAATATTTTTTATCTGTAGAGTGTTACTTTTTTGCAAAAAGAAAGGATTGCATCTTGTCATAAAAAACGATTATCTTATCAATAATTATTATCTCTGCGATATTAAATATTATCATCGACATGTAACGACGTACATGTCTATGATAATATTTATGATCAAACAGAGTCGTCAAATGAAAGTTATGAAAGAAATATCACGAGCGTTATTATAATATTATATCTGAAATTAGATTCGGATTCTCTCATTCTCACTTGCGTTCCTAAGGATTAAAAATAAATCCTCTTTATTTCATAATCTTCTTTACATTCGTAACATAAGCTATAAATATTGAGTTTGTGTTCTTTTAAACAAATATTCAAATAATATTCTATGTATAAATATAGAATATTATAGAGCTTTGCATTATTTTTAAATAAATATTTAACCTTTCGTTTACAATCATTTTTATTCCTTCTGTCTGTAATATGAATTTTTTTTTCAGCCCAAGTTTTTTTACCGGTCTAAGCTTTCAAAACAAAATCAGAGTTTTCAACATCTCTGTAATATTATCAAATAGTTTTTTAATTAAAATGTTAAAATATTTATTCAATAAAAATTGAAATTTAAGCTCAATAAAAATCATTTAAGATTGGAATTTCGTTCATATCAAGAAAGCAGACAGATTCACATGCAGACAGAAGGTTAAATAATGTTTTATATAAATATACTTTTCACTATTTCAAACAAATATTAAATTTTCTCAATACAATTAAATTGAGATGTTTAAAGGGAGAAAAAAAAAAGAAAATGGGTTTAGAGTCGCCACTGCCTGCCCGCGCTTTTCCGGATCTCACGACTAATCTCACGAGTGCACGGCGTTTCGATGAATGCTCGGTGATGAGTCCTGACGTGCAAATGTTCTTGCAGAGAATCGTGGTCACGTGTGCGGACATTGACATCGGAGCGGCAGCGAGGGATGCAATTTCCCGTGTTCGCGAGTGATAGCCGCGGCAGCACGGCTGCCGCGACCACGTAGTCTCGCGTGCACGCACGCAGGACAGAACAGTATATCGTCAGTGCATCGTCATCATCGTCCTCGTCGTCCTCGTCGTCGTCGCTCCGTTGCGTGCGACCATCGAGAATGCCGGTGTGAAGTGAAGAACCAAACGCTCTGCGAAAAACGCTCTGCGATCTTTACATGTCGTAAATTTTACTTATCATCCCGAGGATACACGCAGAAACAAGGTGAGCACGTAGAATCCTTAAACAAAAAAGCATTTCTCGTCGCGGGATTCGAAATCTCGACAGAATTTCGCCGAGTTCGATAAGTTTCCGAGACTATGGGACGCGCGAGAATGATCTCTGCGATTGTTTTCATTTGTCGAAGCGCAAGATTCCTTGATCGCGTACACGAAATTGACAGAAATTGAACTCGCCGAGAGTGTCACGGTTTCAATCTTACGTCTTTTTTCTTCTTTTTATCGTCCCTCACCATTAACCCTTTCAAGACACTGATGATGATTTATTTCGAAAGACCTTTGATATTTCTGGAAAATTCAATAGCAATTCTATTCACTTGTTTTGTATAAATTCGAAGATTCGGTTTGTAATGTCTTGCTAAATTTATTCAAATAATATTACTCAAAATTAAAAACTGTAGAAAAAAATTGTAAGTTGAAAAGTTAAAGAATTTGTTCTTTTTACTAAGGATTTTGTTTCATTTATGTAGCTAAAAGATTGCCTTGAAAGAGTTACAGTCACTTTGTGTATTTACAGCACAGATTGTCTTGTTTGCGCAGCTTTAATCTCCACGCTTTGATGCTTTATTAATTTATGTTTCAATATATTGCTTGATTTGCTTTGTATCTATCATTTCTTTCAGACACTATGCGGGTTGCTTGAGGTAGCTAGCTACTTGAAAATTATGCTATTCCCAATTCTGAATTCGGCATCCTTCACAAATTGCTAATTAAAGATAATTGACTTATTTAATGCTAATAGTTAAATAGACGTTGAGAATACAAACCAAGAATCGCCAGGAATGGACCAAATTTTACTGAGAATGATATAGAATCACTTCGGGATTATGGAATGTCGAGTTTGATGTATACATACTGTATGTATACATATTGATGTATTTTATTAAGTATACATACTGATGTATTTAGGATTATTAAAAGCTAAAATGAAAGTCAGTATGTTTTAAAATTTCCGTTCGTAATAAAATCATATTCCGATTTTAGTATCATAAGCGTAAAACATGTCGCGCCACGACACGTCCATCTTTCTAATTCCGGGCGATGTTAATTGCAAAATAAATTTGTTTAAGCAAAACCGCGCGAGCAAACAAATCTTTATATTATGGCGATTATTTTTCACATAACAAAGGTGCCAATTTCTTACTTTAAGTCCGGTTTAAAATTTAGAGATGAAAGAGAAAAAGAAAAAAATATCCATGCTATAGAAAGAATATAGTTCGCAAGGATGATAGCACAGCCAGGACAGACAAAGAATGAAAGGAACGAAATGCGCATGCATGCATGCATGGACGAGATGGAAGAAAACACGAAAGACAAGAGACAGAGGAAAAGAAAGAGAGGAAAAGAGAGGTGGGCAGAAGAAAGGAGAAGCAAAACTACTCGGCAAACTTGAGAAACGAGATTCGCACGGGTCTGCCGAATTTTTTGTAGTTTGTTTGAGTGATATTTGCATTATTTTTAACTACATTCTGCTATTAATTATGCGAGAATGTTTCAGAGCAATATAAAATTTATGTTTCTCCAACATGTTAGATATTAGTATTAATGAGAATAGAAATATTCGTGTAAGAATTAAAAATTCGTGATTGAGTAAAAATATTAAATTTCTGCAGAAATAATTGTACTGAGGGAAACTGATGTGAATAATAATATAAAAAAGAATAACTTTATTTAAATTGCCACTGTAAATAAGTAAAAAATGACCTAAAATTTACCATAGATTCACCATTCCAAAAATTATAGTTATTAAACATTTGAAGCTCTTTAAGTTTTGTTACGAGATAAGTTGTTAGACTAGTGTCTAATCTATAATTTAAACGACTAGACAATACATTTTTTAAATAACATTTTATTATCGGCACAAACGATTTAAGACATATATATATTTTTTACGAAATTGTATCTGTTACAATAGTAATTAGAATGTTTCTCATTCTTATGTTTATATTGAATTTATATTATACTTTTTATTAAAAGGTTTACATGTGATTGTGACGCGTTAAAAAAAATCAATGACATCAAGAAATGAAGAAATGTAAATTTGACAAGGAATACAAAATATCTTGCAAACTGAATTCGCTATACACGATCTTACTTAGCAGGTATTATAGTTATGTACTTCGAAAGAATAAATGCTACCAGAAAAGTACCTGTTACAAAACAAATGACGAAAACATACCAAGTTTCTTCATCAAACACATCGGTGAAGGCTGGAATTTGATTGTAGACCGAATCGAGAAGTCGTAAATGGTAATTTTTACTGTTTCTTATTATTTTGTTCGTCGTTACGCTAGTTTCTTTCCCGTACATTTTAAATTGGTAAAGTTTTCCTTTTTTACAATCGGTTTAATGCAAATATTTTGATTGCGCGAAATAAATTTCTAGATTAATATAAATGCCTTTCGGTGTTTAGCAAATAGAAAATCCTGCAAGAATATAAATTATAATTATTATTAATATCTATATAAATATTTTATATATATATATATATATATAGACTTTCTTTCTACAACATTTAAAACTGTATTAAATGTAATTCAAACTATACGCTGCAGAAAATTAATTACGATATCATAAAATAGGATGAAAATGATAGCCACGTATCAAAGACATATTATTTAGAGATATTTCGTTTGAACAACTTTTGAAAAAAACTTGTACATCGCGTGTAAACACAATTTGATACTTCATTTATTACCACAATAAGTCGCCGATGAAATTAGATTAAATGATTCACTCCTCTATGCCTGCTCCATAATTTTATTCTATGATGCGGCCGCTTTTTCTTCTTTCTCTTCTCTTCCTCAAGCTCTTTTTTAGCCTCAAGCTTAGCCGGATCGGGCGGAATTAGGCTAGTGATGTGCTTGTTGTAAAGTTGCAAAATGTTTAGGCTTGTTAAAAGGGCCGTTTTTAATATCACTTTTTCACCCGACTCTGAAAAAATGAACAAGACAGATGTGACCTACTTGTTTGTATCTGCGCGAAATTACAGGAGAAAAGATATAAAAGAAAAGACGTTTAGTTGAAATAATTGAAATGAATAAACGTGATTTTAAGCGCTCCGTCGATTTGTTATAACGGAATAAAGCTTCGAGGACGATTTCTTAAGGATTTATTGAATCAGAACTTAATCAACTTATGCATCTTCCTTTTCGTATTTCTTTTTTAATATTTTTCTGATACGAACATTCACTCACGTGAATGAATTGAACGATAGCGATATGCACTGAAACGTAAACGATGATGTGAACAATTCCATACTTTTGTTATTATACTTACGAAGATTGAACGTAACGGTTGGCTCGGAACGATCGCACACGACCTCTGTTTTCAATGAGCACTGCGGGTTTGTCGCACGAATTTTCGGAGCGCTAACGTAATACAGAAAATCTCTGCAAATAAAAAACATTATGCATGTTATTATCTCATATGTTGAAAGTCTAATCTGTACATTCTCTTTAAAGTCGTAGAAATTAAATTTTTCATCACTTAATCTACGTTTTGTTTTTTCGCCTTTTCTCTTCTTTTTTCTGCAGTCTTATCTTACAGTTTCATAGTAAACGTGATTTGTTGGTTACTACTTCCCCGTTATATTTCTTAATGTATTTATCATTCCTTTCACAGGCAAAATGGCACAAATGGAGCAGCAATTACCGCTTCCAATGCCAGATTTAAGTACCCTTCGTATAACTACAGCCGTCTCTATGCTCGGCAAAGCATATGGATGTGGCCAATGTAATGGTGAGTTACATTCGTTTTAAATAGGTAATTTAAAAGAGAAACATTATTATGAAACGGAAGGAAAGTCACTATTAACCGTATATTCATCTTTTAACATTTCTGATTGTGCACAAATAACAATAGATAGACCTTTTTTTTTCGCAAAAGTGTCTAAACCAATTAAAACCTCCTCAAAAATTGAATTTGATGTTTCGTACATATATTAGGTGTAATAAAAAGAAATCCTGATGGCTTTAGTAATCTGTATCTCGTCTACGCGTGATACAGATTACTAAAGCCATCTATTGGAAAAATAATGGATTTCTTTTTACTACATCTAATATTATATTTATATACGCGTATATTTATGGATTGTGCGTCGTCACGATTTGATTATCAACCGAAATCGAAGTAGATTGATCTATAAATAATTATAATCTACAAATAAAAAGAATAGACGCACACACGCGTGTATAAGATAGTTGAAGTAATACGGGAACATTGTACTTGCACATCGAAGTAACTCAAAAAAGCTTTATTTAGATGACCTGTAATTCGCGTAAAATTTAGAAAATAATTTTAAATTTTAAAATTTAGAAAATAATATATAATATATAAAATTATTTAATTATAACATTATTGATTTTATTTAATAATAAAGTTATTAATTCATTATAATTAAATTATTTAATATTATTTATGTAATTTAACATTAATGAAATTAAATTTGCGTGAAAAGCATTTTTGAAAAAAACTCAAAATATTTAAACTATTTAAAATATTACTAAATATTAAAATTTAAGATATTCAATTACAACAAATTATATATTGATTATTTTATTTAATAAAATTATTAATAATTTACTATAATTAAATTATTTAATATTATTTACGTATTAATATTAATGAAATTAATAATAATTAAGTTTATGTCCGTGCACATAAAAATAAGACACACATACACAAAACATTTAGAATACGTACGTGATTAAAACATACTAAATTGTGAATAGGATTTTATCTGATTCTATCTTCTCCCGAAATCCGACGGGAATTATAGATCGTTTAAAAAGTGGATTTATCTCGTGATCCAATATATGAAATGGGGGCGATAGGATGATTCACATCGTTGCGCGAACGTGTCGATATCAAACGCTATGACTATGCAAACGTCAAAGTCGGTATTGCGGAATCATGATGGGGTAGGACGGGAAGGAAGATTCTTGTTTTCTCCTATTCTTTATTACCTGTTAACGCTGATTATCCGAGCGACAATAGGGCACCTAGGAGGAGCTCGCGAATCTTTGGAACTGCTCTACCTCGACTAGCAACGCACACACGATCGAGACACGCTTCTATAAATAACAACGGGAGGGCTGCGCACATCGTCTGCTAACCTGGCGCCGAGGGATGCGCGTGCGTGCGTCGATGACGTTGTCGAGTGCCAACCTGACTCGCGGGTTGGTGGTTAATCGTTACTGAAGAGGATTGGATAAAGTGGAAGGTGCTCGTGTCATATGTCGAATCTGATGTCTAATAATTACGTTTACATTTCCTTCATAAAAATATATGTTTACGTTAAAATAAAATGTAATTTTAATGTAAATGTAATTAATAAGAATGTGTTACATTGATTGCATTCTATAAAGCGCATATTACGTATATTATTATAGTATACGGAGCATATAAACTTCATGCGACTTTGTTGAACTTTATGGAAATAATTTTGCTGAAATGTTCGCTAAATGCGGATATGAAAATAATTTTTTTTTACTATAAAAATAATTACGTAGAAAATTTAAGCATGATGAGCAATGCTACAAAAAAATTTTGACACTTTAGCATCCAGCTGTCCTATATAATTAATTTGATAGTTATGAATAAAATTATTTTCAGATTTGTAGAAAAACTTCTAGCTATACATTGTTAGACTTCGGCAAAACCATTCTTTTTATATTGATAAATGTGATGTTAGACTCACAAGATAGCGCTGATAGTAGTGTACGCGAAAATATATTACGTTTATACAGGGTCCGGCAAAATGATCTCCCACATTTTTAAATTATTAAAGATTAAAATGTGGGAGATCATTTTGCCGGACCCTGTATAAGGACCTTTCGTTCTATCTAATCCTCTTTAATCGTTATTGGGATATCGAAGGGTGATTTCGACCAATCTCCGTCATCTCCGATTAACTTATCAAGCGATACCGTGTTATCATGAAGAGAATTATTGATTTTTTTGTTTTGACACATGGGATAGCAATACTTAAATTAATCGGAATTCCGCCAAAATCAATAATAATAATAAGTTTATTTCTATTAATGTATAATTCTGATTTAGTTTTTATCCTTTTTTTTTCGAAGGATCAGAAAAAGGTGATAAGTAAATTAAATTGAGATTAAAATTAAATTATATTAATAGAAAATGTATGTTGCTTCTCGGAGAAGACACGATCTCGCTTGAAATGGTACATTTATTCTTTTTCTTCGCTATTTGAATAAAATATTACTTGGAAAGATTTGGAAAGACACCATCGGAATAAATCCGGAATAAATCTTATTTTCATCTTCGAAATCTCATACATCTAATCGTATTTCGATATATTGCGTAAAAGAAAACATAATGGAACAACGGCAGCGTTAAGTAGAATGTTTATTTTGGAAATAGTAGGAAGTTTTCTTCGTATTGATGGGATTATACTTTTAGATATTTAGAAAAAGTTTTCCTTCAGTAAATTCCTAAGTAAATTTCTAAAAGTTGCAAAATAAACATTCTGCTGAACGTAACCAATATACGGAAAACATTTTATTTGCAAATTTCTCGACTTTTACAAAAAAAATATGCAAGTGTTTTCTTGGAAATTTTAAACAAGTGAATGCAATATCTCGCACGCGGAATCCCGTTTCGATAATTCCCGCGCAATCGCGTGACGCGCGGCCAACTTCAGGGAACTAACCTCGTATGCTTGGACTGATGATCGAACGGGTCGAAACGAACGTTGATCTTGTCAACGGGCGCTAGATTGACGCGCTTAATCTGGTTTACGACCGCGCTCATTAGACTGGAGCGTTTAATGGCCCCAGAAAAATGAATCGACATCTTGGAATCTCGACGTGAGCACGATACGCGTAAACGCGACGCGTATACCGCTTGCGGCGTCACTGCCCGGAACTTGCCGCACCAATGCTGCCACTATTATACGATCGAGACTTTGCGGCTGCAATCGCAAGGTTGGCAGCGGATCGATCTTGCACAACGCCCGCCATAATCGACGTACTAATGATTTTTTTCTTTTTTTAAATTCTATTCAATTATTTGTAAATAAAAAATCTTGTTTTTTATTTACAAATAATAATGTAAAGAACTTTATTCATGTAATAGCATTTTGTTATCAACATTGATATTACATAAAATTTATGAAACATATTACAATGATTAAATAAAAAAAATTATAGTACTGATAATGCAATAAGAAATTGATAATTTATCCTGATATGTGCAATATATGATGTAAATTACTTTTTTTTATTAATCATTTATCTCAAATCAATGAAATCAGCATGAAACTGTAAACTTTGTTTGTAATTATTAAAATTTATTATTTGTTATGGTTTTATTTTATTCTGTACTTACATCATTGCATTCATAAATAAATTTTTTTTTATTGTTAAAGTCAAGTATAGTTAGTGTCAAACTTTAATTCTTTTCAAGCAGTATCTGTATTATTTTAATATTTATGAAATTAGTTAATTTTATAATTTTGCATCTGATTATAAAATTTGTTAATCTATATTGAGAGAAACGCATTAATCAATATTACTTAATCAATACTATCAATAGTATTTTAGTCATAATTCTTCCATGTCTTTTCATGCATGCTAAATTACAAGATTACGACAGCGATATCTTGTTAATAGTAAAGATGAGGAATGATAAAGAGAACAGTGACGCGTCGATTGAATCTTCCGGATTGGTGCTCATCGCTATTTTTATCCATTATTCTAGTTAATTGAACAGGCATGCTGAAAAAATCATGATATTATAGCATCTTTAACATCGGCAAGTATTCGATTTTTTTTTTTCTAGAAAGAGATAACGCACGTGGAAAAACTTTCACGTGCATTACTAGCGGAAGTTCTCCGATAAACGGACAGAAATTTTTAAGACTGATCGGAATAGTTCAAATGATTCGCGAGTACCGCGCGCAGCAACGTGCGAGCGAACGAGGCGTCGCGAATTGTCGACTGCGACCGTCGTTCGCTGTATGCTGATTAGTCGCGCTGCTGCCAATAGGCGTCGCGCTAACGGACGCCATTGCGGAGGGACAGTCTCGTTTGGTGGTGTCGTTCGCAGTGTGTGTTGTGGGGAAGTGTGTGGTGTGGCCAGTGGGGTCTTGTGTTGAATTTTTTTACTTATTTATTAGTGGTTATCTGGTCTTTTACACTCGACGGCAGCGAGAATGTACCCCGCAGGACAACGTGAGTGCCATTATGCCGTCGTATTCCCGTTAGGATCCACGGAAATCCCCATAAACACGCTTGAACCATCCCTGCGGATGTTCCTTGACGAGCGAGCTCCGCGGGCTCACTCGCGATGCACGCACGCACACTCGCCAGACTTGCCCACGGCCTCCAGAACATACGCCTTGCTCCTTGATTGTTCCCGAAGAACGTCGTGAAGGAAACGTTGCGACGCCCGTGCGTGAAGACATGCCGAATGACCTCGGATGAACCTCGTTCAACAGGCACGCGTGTCGTCATTCACCCGCGACACGACGGCCTCCACGCGTTAGCTAATTCTGGTCTCTAGCGTCTCTTTCTAGATTATGGTCTTATCTACCGTGCAACAAGAATTCAGCGTTTTTTAGGTGTTAGAGCGAACGGCAGTAGGGAAGACCTACTGACCTTTTGTGTTCTGTTAAAAAATTGACAATTCGATGACGCTGTTCCCTTGCTTGCATCTGTATCCGAAATCCACATGGAAAATTTGTCCTGAATCGTGCAAGCCAGCTGTGTCACATGCTTCCGACATGAGTCAATTATTAGAAGACTGTTTCAAGTTAGGAGCATTATTGGAAACAGTTTGTTAAGCATCGAAGCATTAAGAGAATGAAGTATGGTATATATACTTCAAAAATTTTAAAAATTATGCTCAAGATTGTGATAGTATGTTACGTTTTGATAACAATGCATAATTGTTATAATTCTTTGATGACCTATATTGATTTATTTGATTTATTTTAATCAAAAATAAACATTTATGTTTGTTTTTGCCAATATAGATTAACTTTAATTTTGATTTAACTTATTCTTTATCTTTTTACAATCTTAAGTCAGTATTTATAATTTGTTCTTTATTTTAAAATGTCTTAAGTAATGTCTTAGAATGTCATAGGGTTATATTAACATCTTAAAACATTACTTAAATATAAGAATCGACTATGAATACTAACATTAAACTAGAAAAAGATGTAGAGTTAATTGAATCGAAATTAAAATTAAATTACATTAATAGAAATGAATATTCAAGATTACTGTTTTTTTATGATCTATCATTATTAGGATATTATTTCATTTGCTATACAATAAGTAGTAATATAAGTCATCAGTCATCAGTTGATGAATGAAATATATTTTCTTGTTAAATGGCTATAGAATAAAAAATTTCTAGACTTGAGAATTCACTCTCTGATAGCTAATCAGTATTTGAAAAATTATGTAATAAATGCAATATCAACTTAAAAATATTATTTCATTTAATGAGCTCTATAATATATTGGAGTGTGCTTTTCCTATATCAAATTATAAAAACTGTGGCTATAGAAGAAAAAAAGCAAACAAATACTTATCGTTCTAGTATTTACTATTTATGATAGTAAAATATTAGTCAATCAATAAATCTCTGACAAAGAAAACAGTATTCAATTCTTGCATCAGAATCTAGGAATTGAGATACCCCACACTCCTCTATAACTCGCTTCAGAATATTGAATGTTATATTTACATTTGGATGATATAAGTTGACATAAGTATCATTTTATCTTTATTATTCTCCGAATATGTAAAAAAAGATAGAATATTTGTGTTGACTTGTGTCATTGAAAGCATCATTTTACTATTTCATTAATTTTATTTACGAAAGAATTTTAAACGTGTTTGGATTCCCATCTGGATGCTGCTACCCGAGTGTCACATCATCCTTGCTTAACATTCAGTAAACAACGGTAAAAGATGGAGTGATACCTGAGTAGCATTTGAGAATCTGAATATCGAATTGATTGGTCAGGATAGAGAATTTCTGGAGATTCACTACCCTTCATTATAATTGACATATTGAAAAACGTTATGCTACAAATGAAAGTGTTTTTAATTTATTCTTTATAGTGTTCCAGTTTCTACAATAAGAATTATTGAACGATTTTTTATTGATTACATAAATCTGCCATATGTAATAGCCAAGCAAATGCAAATTTTAAAATAGCATTTAAAAATAAAAAAACTAAAGTATAAAGTAGTACTAAAGTGTTATACATGTATATTAATATTATAATCAGAGACAATACTTTTGATGCAACTAACATCGGTATTTAGCCCTATATTTCGTGTATCTTTGTCAGATGGTCAATATGAAGGTGCTGATTTTTATTATTATCAAAAGCATGAAGTTCGAGAAAACACTTTCACTGATCGTCTTGTCATCCCTGAACGCGAAATTTTAATTCCGTTATTTTTAAACCTATTTCTAAACTATCATAACTACGACATTTTCATATTAAACTTTTCGTATTAAACTTTTCATATTAAAAAGAATCTGTCTTTATATATAAAATATTTAGTCAGTTTGGGACACTATATATATATATATATATGTGTGTGTGTGTGTGCGTGTGTGCGTGCGTGCGTGCGTGCGTGCGTGCGTGCGTGCGTGCGTGCGTGCGTGCGTGCGTGCGTGCGTGCGTGCGTGCGTGCGTGCGTGCGTGCGTGCGTGCGTGCGTGCGCATATATATATGGACCTAATATTGAAAAACAATTTAGTATTAATTATGTTGTATTTATTCTGTCGTGATATTGAAATAATAGCAAATTATATATATATATATATATATATATATATTTGAAAGTATATCTTGTTAATTATCTTATTAAATATATCAGAGATGTTTTGCTGCATTTTGTTATAATCACTGACGTAAAAAAAGAAATGGAAGATACTGTAATCTATTAACTGACTTAAAATTTCTTCTTAAGCATTAATACTCGCAACTCATTGAATAATTGCTTAATACAATACTTTATAAACAATAAACAATACATATAAAATTGATTGCTATATATTCTGGTAATAATTAAAGACATAAATGTAGGAACATAAATAGAAATAAAAATGAAAAGTGCAATATGCAATATTTTTTTCAATTCAATAAATAAAATATATAAAACTGATATTTATTTTTTAAATTAATATTTATGTCATTTCCTCAGCCCCCCCACCTGGACCCTCAACTAGTGGCGGGTCTGTTGGGGCGGCAGGAGAGCAATATGGGGCTTGTTCCCGCACAGCAGGCACACACTCCTCCTCAACCTACAGAACTGCCAAGTATGTATATCTAATTCTAACTCTGATATTATAAATAAAAAAATTGATGAAAGTTAGTTCTCTGCAATTAAATAATATTCTTTTACAGTGTTTACGTGCCCTCGAAGACCAAACATAGGACGAGAAGGTAGACCGATCGGTTTGAGAGCTAATCATTTTCAAATTAGTATGCCACGTGGCTATGTACATCACTATGACATTAGCATACAACCTGATAAATGTCCTCGGAAAGTTAATAGGGAAATTGTAGAAACGATGGTTCATGCATATACTAAAATATTTCAATCTCGTAAACCTGTGTTTGATGGCAGAAATAACTTGTACACAAGGGACCCCTTGCCTATCGGGCATGATAAAGTAGAATTAGAGGTAAATTACTATCTTTTAAAAGTCCAAACGTTCTATGATTTACAATTGCATTTATAATCGTTTTTATAGGTCACACTGCCTGGTGAAGGAAAAGATAGAGTTTTCCGAGTGGTCATAAAGTGGTTGGCGCAGGTTTCGCTATTTGCTTTAGAAGAGGCTTTAGAAGGACGAACTAGACAAATTCCATATGATGCTGTTCTTGCTTTAGATGTTGTAATGAGGCATTTACCATCTATGACATACACTCCAGTAGGTAGATCGTTCTTTAGTACGCCAGAAGGATATTACCATCCATTAGGTGGAGGCAGAGAAGTATGGTTTGGATTCCATCAATCGGTGAGACCGTCGCAATGGAAAATGATGTTAAATATCGACGGTAAGCGAAAGAAAGATTACCGATTTATCAGGTTATAAGCTTTATTATGACTTTATTCAATTACTTTCATTTGTATTCTAGTCTCTGCCACTGCCTTTTACAAAGCGCAGCCAGTTATAGAATTTATGTGCGAAGTGTTGGATATTCGAGATATCAATGAACAGAGAAAACCGCTCACGGATTCTCAGAGAGTGAAATTTACCAAAGAAATCAAGGGTCTCAAGATTGAAATAACTCACTGCGGAGCTATGAAGCGAAAATATCGAGTGTGCAATGTTACACGTAAACCAGCTCAAATGCAATCGTAAGTATATTATAGTTAAATTAATATTACTAAATGTGAAATATAAAAAAATATGTCATTAATTATACACTATAGCTAACATATTATAATGTAATCTAATTTAATTACAGATTTCCATTGCAACTGGAAAATGGACAAACAGTTGAGTGTACAGTTGCCAAATACTTCTTAGATAAGTACAAAATGAAATTGCGTCACCCACATCTTCCTTGCTTGCAAGTCGGCCAAGAACATAAACACACATATTTGCCGCTTGAGGTACGCAACAATTTTTGATTTAGCTTATAGTGTATTGCATTCTATTGAAGAATAAAATGTTATTTAATTTTATTTGATATTAGGTTTGTAATATTGTCGCCGGTCAACGCTGCATTAAAAAGTTAACTGATATGCAGACCTCAACTATGATCAAAGCGACAGCGCGTTCCGCACCAGATCGTGAACGGGAAATTAATAATCTAGTTAGAAGGGCTGACTTTAACAATGATTCTTATGTACAAGAATTTGGATTGACTATATCGAACAGTATGATGGAAGTCAGAGGTCGTGTACTACCTCCGCCCAAACTGCAGTATGGAGGGCGCGTAAGTTCCCTCAGTGGACAGGTGAGAAACTTCCAACTAAATCAGTCAGGTCTAGCCGAATCACACATTTGCAGAGGCTAATAAGTTTGATTATTTTTAACAGGCATACATTTTTGTAGCGCCAAATGTTTGATTATTAAATTATCATGGTTCTTAGATTCTTTATATGTAATCTGCAAGCTGAAGCTTTTAACTGAGAAGGATATAAAATACTTATGATATACTATATACTATAAAATATTTATGCAAGTTTTTATTTTTTATTTATTTAATCTTTTTTGTTTTGCGTATAATAGTGTTCACGATACTTGTATTTTGTAAATTAATTTACATTGCGATAATAATATTTTTAACATATGTATGTATTTAGTTACTAAGATTACATTTGATATATCTTTACACATGTAGCCAAAAGTTGTCAAATGAATGCATGGGTTCTAGACCTGGTTGATTTGATATCTGGGCTGTTAGTGTAACGAATATTCAAATTGTTATCATTATAAATTGTAAATGATAAATGTAACGAGTATCGTTTTTGTTATATTGTAGACGTAGCTTACGGTTTACAAATGTAACTAATGTTACATTTGCAGTCCGATATCACGTGCGAAAGTCTGATGCTATCAGTATTTGTTCCATGCTGACAGAACAATTCTATTTGTTTATTTTTGCTATATAATATAATTAAATTGTATTAAATAAAATTAATGAGACATGTTTGCATATGGAAACACTGATACATCTACTGCGATATAATTTTGTATTATTTAAACATATTGTGTTTAAACACTTAATAATTTATATCTCTTTCTAAAGACAAAGCAGCAGGCGATGCCTAATCAAGGTGTATGGGATATGCGTGGCAAACAGTTCTTCACTGGAGTGGAGATAAGAGTGTGGGCGATCGCTTGTTTTGCACCTCAAAGAACAGTACGCGAAGATGCGTTACGTTCATTCACAACACAACTACAGAAAATTAGTAATGATGCTGGTATGCCCATCATTGGACAACCATGTTTTTGTAAATATGCTACTGGACCAGATCAAGTCGAACCTATGTTTCGATACTTGAAATCGACTTTCTCGCAGTTGCAACTAGTTTGTGTTGTATTACCAGGCAAAACTCCTGTATATGGTAATTTTATATACTGTATAAATATATATATGTATAGCTATATTTATATAAATATTTATATAAATAGATTATAGATTAATGTTTATATCTACCAATGTAGTTTAATTTTAATTTTGGTTTGAATTACTTTTTTTTTTTTATTAGTTCTAAGTATTAGAAAAAGATAGAGTTAATTGAATTAAGATTAAAGTTAATCTTGGTAGACATAAATTATCTTTAATCTACAGATTTCTCTGAAATATTGTAATTATTTGTAATTTTTATAAATTGAGGTAAATAATTTGTTCTTCTCTTTCTTATTTAGCTGAAGTAAAAAGAGTAGGAGATACATTATTAGGCATGGCAACTCAGTGTGTACAAGCAAAAAACGTCAATAAGACATCGCCGCAGACATTATCTAATCTCTGTCTTAAAATAAATGTCAAATTAGGAGGCATCAATAGCATTCTAGTACCTAGCATAAGACCAAAAGTGTTTAACGAGCCCGTTATATTTCTTGGAGCTGATGTAACTCACCCGCCGGCGGGAGATAACAAAAAACCCAGTATAGCTGCTGTAGTAGGCAGTATGGATGCTCATCCATCTGTGAGATATCTAAATTACTTTATAGAATTTTACAATAAACATACTGTTATTGGAGCATATTCGCACATAGATAAGTGGCGAGTAACAAAAACGAACGAAATTTCATTTGATTATATTCACAATTTTTATTCTCATTTATAATTCATATTATTCTATAACTAATTTAATTATAAACGTATTTTAAGTCTTAGGAAAATTATTTATAATGATAGAAGAATAACAAAAATAGTTAATAACGAAATGGATAAACATTATATTTAAAAATTACTGAAGATGACTTAATAATGGTCGAAACATTTAGTACTTTTTGTTATGAATAAACAATATTAGATATTCGCAATGAAAACCAGCGTTGGCTTATATGCTCTTTTCAATATCAGATTTACTCTAGAAGCCATTACTTAGTTATATAATTAGAATTATATATTTTAGATATTGTATAATATCTAATATATCCCTAAAATAAATATTAATTCTATGTAATAATTAACTTAAAAAAAATCTTGAATTTTTTAGACTGTTAAAGAGAGAGAGAGAGCGAAATAATCCCTTAATAAGTATATAATCTCTTAATTATAAAATGACGTGTTAAAAAAAAAATTATTATATTATGAAAATTATTGTATTATGAAAAATATTGTCACATTTCTTTTAATATTTTATAATTTGTTCTGATTATTTTTTATTCTATCTTGCTCTAAATATTATCTTTTTTTTTTTAAGGGAATTGCTTATAATGTTTTACAAGAGCACCGGCGGATACAAGCCACATAGAATAATTTTGTATCGCGACGGCGTCTCCGAAGGCCAATTCCTCACCGTTTTGCAACACGAATTGACTGCCATTCGTGAAGCATGTCTCAAACTCGAGATCGATTACAGACCCGGTATAACATTTATTGTAGTGCAGAAGAGACATCACACGCGACTATTTTGCGCGGATAAAAAAGAACAAAGTGGTAAAAGTGGAAATATTCCGGCGGGTACGACTGTTGACGTATGCATAACTCATCCGACGGAATTCGACTTTTACCTCTGCAGTCATCAGGGTATTCAGGTATTTCAGTCAATTCAAGCCACTTTTTTCACATGATTTGTGCAGAGTCTCATTACTTCTGTAATAATAATTCTCTGTGAGAATGTACTTCCATTGCACATTGTCATGTGTTCTAATCTTTAAGTATGTCTGTTATTTTAGGGTACATCGAGGCCGTCACATTATCACGTTTTATGGGATGATAATCACTTTGAAAGTGACGAATTACAGTGTCTCACATACCAATTATGTCACACTTATGTCAGATGTACGAGATCCGTTAGTATACCAGCGCCTGCATATTACGCTCATCTCGTAGCATTCCGGGCTAGATATCATCTGGTCGAGAAAGAGCACGATAGGTGAGTCAAGTTATCTTTTTCTTTATCATATCGTCGTGAAATGCCTAATTATATACGCGGAAATCTTATTGCGTTTTAATTTTAACTTTACAGCGGAGAAGGATCTCATCAGTCGGGTTGTAGTGAGGACAGAACACCGGGTGCAATGGCGCGAGCAATCACAGTTCACGCCGACACGAAACGAGTTATGTACTTCGCATAATTCTTACGTTGAACTGTCATCCAGGTCGGTGTTATTGTCTCTGTGAAGACACTGTATATAATTGCGACTTCGTGACACAAGTGTGAGAAGTTTCATCAGGCAGCCGAGATCGCAGCACGTCGCGTCACAAATTCTTTAACAATTAGGACAGTTCAACTGATAAATTTCTTACATACCTTCTTCCTTTTTTTTTCCTTTTCTTTATTCTTTTTTTTCTGTTTTTCATCTTCTTTGCTTTTTTTTTATCGTAAATCTATATAGTTTTTTGGTATGCGTGGCACAGTGTGTTTTATTTACGGACTTGTAGAATAAGTTTTTATGAGAAGTGCTTTTAATGCAGTTTGTAAATCAGGTTAAGAATATTTTACACGTTTAGGTGTAAAATTATCTGCAGTCGAAAATTGAAAATAGGAATGCACCGGATTGTAAAATTACTGCATACTGGATATTGGATATCCAGTGTCATATTATTTTCAGATATTCGATATTTGATCAGATATCTGGTAAGACAATTATTCGACCAAATACCGGATATTTCCCCAGATATCTGGAACAAGGCTTTCAAAAGAAAGCAAAGAAAAAATAATGTTAAAAAATAATTTTTTCTTCATTTTCCTAATATGAAAAGAAAAAGAGAAAAGATGAATTGTGCAAAAAGTTCTGCTCAAAAGAATCAAATTTTGCATTAATGCAAACTTTGAATATAAAATTTCAACTGTACACACACACACACACACACACACACACACACACATATATACATATATATATTTCGCGAAAAAAAAATCTTTCCCTCTCCTTGCGCACCGTCGTCATCGCCACTCGAGTGTGGATTCGCGCGGCGCGGCTTAACCGCATATTGGCTTAGACGTTTCCTTTTTTAATTCGAAAACTACAGAGAGTATCTCAAAATGGCATAAGAATTTTTTGTTCTCTTTGATCCATTCTCCACTCCCCAATATGACCCCGATCCATCTTAAGAGACACCCTGTATATATATATATTACCGAATATTAATCCGACTATCCGACGGTAGTAAAAAAAAGTGATACTGGATACCATATAAAAAAGTAATATCATATATTTAATACCGGATATTTTCCGGATATCCGGTGCATCCCTAGTTGAAAAGTAAGTTAAACGAATTCTTACTTTGTAAAAATTATGCTTGGTAAGATTAATGTGGGGAATTTCGAATCCTCAAATTAATTAACAAACTAGACTATGAGTTTTTGTTGTATTACTGAGATACAATAGCACTTTTCGACTCAATGAAATTTGTGTAGCATATTACGCTTATTTTTTTAAGGAACGAATTTTCCCTAGCATTTGTGTAAAAAAGAAAAAATGGGAAGAAACGAATTGCCTGGAAAAAACACTATCATATAAATCGCTATTTACGAGACTGTTATCTTGTTGCATGTATGTATAGCTTTCATTTTGCGAGGAGTGAAACTCCATTCTGTAAATTCTGTAAATTTTAGACATCTAATTGTGCTGAATAATCATGCTGAAGTGATTGGCATAAAAAATGAATCGATTAATACTGATTGTAATATCTTTAGAAATTGGTCGCGAATCATGTCGTTTCATATCTGTTGAATTACAACAAAAGATAATGTCCATCATAAATAATGCTATCTTTCATATAACATATTTTTAACCATTTTGAAAATTTCATGAGATCATTTTAAAGTAATCCTAAAGTATTATTGAAAACCGATGGAACAACAACTCATGTGTACACTTTGGCTGAACAGCATAGTAGATAAGGACGAACTTCAATACATAAACTAACTTTCAGTACATAAAGACAGCTGTATGTAGTAGAGGTAGTCGAGGAGTGTTATGTAGAGCACATGCGTTGTTTATATGACTTCCATATATGATTTAATAATGGCTAGTGTCCATTTGAGAGAAATGTCTAAATCGTATGTCTTAATCGTTTTGATTAATCAATATGACGTATCATAGAAAAGACTACTTATTCTTATATTATTACTCTTCAGTTCTGAGAGTTACTGTCAGATAGACACTAAGCTTTAGGATCCAAATTTAGCGTAATTAAATTAATTATCGTTATTTTACTGTTGCTAATCGTTAGGATGTACATTTTATTCGTCTCACTTTAATTTCGCATTAGACCGTTATCGTCTGCACGTTGCACAGCTCATAATTTATGATGACTATAATTATGCTTAACTATTAATTAATGAATCCATAAACTAGGATACAACATTGACCCATAAAGCAACTTTATCTGTGTTAAATGCTCTCCCTTTAAACCGTGGTGACCCTGGTGGTCGGAAGTCTATAAGAAAAAAAAAAGATCTGTGTTAAATACGTCACACGAAAATGCCGGGGATGAAAGTAATGGATGCCTGTGTCTGGTGTCCGAGATAAGCCGGGATGTTATCTACTCACAATTAAATAAAAGGCTATGAATAAGTCGAATTCATGTGGCGTTAGATACAGGACAATGTCTCGGAACATGCAAAGATTTACGAGATAAATCGAACATGTCTATATAATACGAAATTATTCGAACGTCGATATCATACAAACGAAATTATACAAACGTCAAAGCTTATTCAATTATACCATTAATTATGCTTTAACAGTGAAGTAACGTGTAAAATTAGTTGTAGGAGTATTATAAGAGTAAGATTTTTTTATTAATTTTAAAGAAGTAATTGTTTTTGCTTGATAATGCCAAACTTTAGAAGTTTTGTATTTTTAATGTAATACTTGCGACTCTTGTGCAAATCTATCGTCGTTTGTTGGCACAATAATTCTAGTAGTATTAAGCAAGCCTTGAAAGCAAGATAAATTCCATACTCCAAGCCTTGTGACGAAAGCAACATAATGTCCTACTTCAGCCTTTGGATGCGTACTGGACATATAATCGATAATAGCCTTATCGATTATAACCCTAAAAAGTCACATTTAATCTATAATCCAGCCTGTATGTGGATAGGATCGTATATTAATAGAATACATATTCTATTAATATATGAATAGAAATCGTATATATTAATAGACATATAATTATGTATCAATTGTCGCGTTCAATTATTGTGTATTATTAGAATCATTAATATATCAAGATCTTTTTCCTATAATTATGTGAGAATTGAATTCTCACTTAAACTCGTGTAAGAATTGAATTCCTACGTTACAATCAGTCATGATCTACATTTGTAAATCAGTATTAATAATACAACAATACTTAGAGAGAGAATATGCTTGGAAAATTGTTTTTTTTTTTTCCGAACCATTGATGGGGGCAAAAAAGCGAAAGTGCTATTTTGGACTATTAATGATTCTAATGTTAGGTTTACAAAGAACACAATGTTAACATTATATCGGAAAGTATGGAAAGAAAGGACCCTTTAAGCTAATTAGTAATATTTATTCTAGTTGTTAAAGTAAAGGACGGACAATTAAAGATTTTCTTTTCGGCGCACTCAAATGTGAGCATCAGCGCCGTAGAAGATTTATAGTAATAGGTTTTTATTGTCTAAAAAAATCTGTTTGGAGGTCGTAGACATAGTTGGGAGAGCGTAGTCAGGAGAACTGATTAGCCGGGTAAAGCAACATACATACATCTCATATAGAAATAAGGAGAAAAGTGAAACATAAAAAAAAAAGTGAAACATAAAAAAAATCAATCGCGTTGTTGAAAATGTATCTTACGCGAATAAAACGCCAATATGAAACGTAATATATTTGTCATCTTACATAACTGTAATTAAGTGATATGACAGGAATAGACAGATATGCAAGAATAGGAGTAGACAGATTATAAGGCAATTTATGGAGAAATTAGATTTTAAGACAAATCATGAATGCAAGTTAATTGCAATAATATTATCGATAATATTATTCCAGTGAGTACCAAAACTAGACTGGATCTGTTGCAAGATTTAATTGTCTCGAAATTTCAATCGAGTGCGTTAATAACTAGGACTAACCTGCATTTCAGCGTTCAAAGTAACATGCTATCAGCTTGTATTCGGCGTTCCATTTAACTCTTAGCAAGTATTTATATCCATTTAAATCATTAATTGATGTATTGCTTCGTCTGCGAAAAACAAAAAGGAAATTTATCGCAACAAAAGCGCGGGTATATTAAATGTTATTAATGCACTCTTTTTTTTTTCTATAACATTCTTCATGTATGTATGTATCTCTGTGTTTTTTGTCTCTTCGAGTTTTTGCGCGAGCGAGAACGTCTGCTCGATATTTTCTTGCACCTGAACAAAAAACAGGACTAGAAGACTAGTCCCTTTCATTTGTAAATATATTACGGTAATTTATTCTGTAGAGGACTCCTTTTCTCGGCAATGTAAATGACATAACATTTTATAGTAAGATACGAGATTAATGAAATAAGGACATGTTATTGCGCAAGGTGTTTTATAATTTTTTCTCTTAAAAACAAATCAATGATAAGAGTGATTTTTTTACGGATATTGTATTAGAAAGTCAATATTTTATAGCTCAATGTTTTCAATCGCTCTGCCAAACATAAAAAAGATTTTTTATTCATTTACGCTTTTGTAGCTTGATTTCCTGCAGGTTTATAACTTTCAAGATTCATAAAACTCCGTAAGCCTTAGCGAAAGCCTTTGGTCAAGGAAAAGTCAACTTCAGATTTGCTAGAGAATTCGTTATTTGTAACGGTTATAATATTTAAATTCTTCGTGCATGTAAAACTGAAGTGTATAAAAAACTTGAGCGTAACAATGGGATTTAACAGTTAATGAAGATCGTTAACTTCTAAAAGAGAATCATAGCGCGCAATACAAGATGCAAAGTTTAATGTAAGATAAATGAGAATACTCGATGAAGATATTGAATGGGCCTCCTGTAAATGCATGGTCTGCCTTGCTTGGAGGATTTAGTTCCACCTTCATCGAAATATGATTCAATGATTGTGTCTTGCGATAATTTATATTTATACATAAAAACAAATATACACACACACAGACACTCAAATTATAGTATAATTATAGACTTTGTAAAAATCTATATGTCTCACTGAATAACATTAAAATAGTAAGCCACCTTGTCTTGAAAAGTTGAGTGCGTCTACTTTCGAAGTCTCGGTCTCCCAAATTCGCGGATACAAAATGTAAGAAGACAAACGCGCATAAAGCAGCAATTAAACGAATTACGATTACATGATAACAATACGTAAAAGCTTTCAAAATTTTGCACCGCGGAATATAAATCTGCGAATTTATTTCAATCCCACTTAATATATGACGAATTTTGTTTATTTATAAGAT